CCATTTCCAATTTCTGTAATATGTAATTACACATTTCAAATCTAGTTTTCATCATTTCCCTTATGTCTTGCAAGTCCGCTCTCATTTCAACAAATAATTCCTCCCTGTATCTTCTGCTTTTTTTCTTTTCCTCTTCCCTAATTGATGTATTCAGTCCCAAAGTCCAGTATATTATTTCAGCCAGTATCTTTTAAGTTTATTTTTAACATGGCCCTTTCCCAACTGTTTCCCACACTCACTGGGTGGTTTCATGCCAATATTTTCAAATATCTTCCCCTTTGTAGTATTCTAATGTCACTTTCCAGGGTTTTTGTTTTTTATAATGGAGTTTCTTTTACTTTCTTTTAAGTTCCAAAGTCCAATTTCTCAGAAAGGCCAAACACTTTTTCAAACAAAAGATCCAAACATCACTGAAGTTTTCCTGTACCATCAGGTGGTGCTCTTGAGCCTTTTTCACTGTCCACTCCTTCCTTGACTTTAACTTTCCTTGTTGAATATAGAACTTTTATTAAATTCGCTAATTTCAATCATTAGCTATTTTTTCCATTTCCACACATTCAGTTTCAGCATTTGATTATGCCCTTTGAGTGCCCAAAATTCAATAGTTATCTAGTTTAATTTCTAAACCTTTGTTGTGTTCAAATATTTTCCTTTAAATTTTCTCCTCCAAATTAATCCAGTACAGTAATTCAAGCCAATTTCATAAAATCCAATTTCCTTCTCTCTCTCTTTGGTCATAGCTTCCACACACTTTCCTCCAATATAGTCCTTTATTTTTAATACTGGGGTACTTAAAAATCCATGTATTTTGTCTCATTCACACTCCGCTTGCTATTTCTCCTCTCCAGCACAAACTTAGTTTCCTGGGCTGTTCTGTGCCTTCGTGGTGGCCATTTCATACCATCACTACCGCTTGCCTTTGAAAGGGTTTTTTTCTGTCAGGGAGGAAAGTTGCAGCTCCCCTCAACCCTCCAGGTGATTCCCCCTTTCTTCACCACCCCTCCAGGGTGGTTCTGGTCTTGACTGGGACCCTCCAGCAAGTTAGCTTGGAGCAAAACCATACACAATCACGGATTCCGCTCCAACTCCAATGACAGCCATCATCTCATATTCTAAAGAGTAAACTTAGACTTGTGAAGTAGAAGTGTTCTGTAGACTACTTTGTACTCCTGGAAACAAAGATGTTGAATAATTCACTGATTGATACTAGAGAGTGAAAAAATGCACAACACTATTCAATACATCATTATTCATTCATTTATTTATTTATTAATCTCAGCTATAATATTTTACCCAAATTGACCCTCCTCAAGTAAAGAAAGATAATGTACTTAATGCTGCTTAAAGTCTAGCTATTTCAATGTTTACGTCATCATCATCTATAGTTCACCCAAGCATATTTAAGTTTTAATTTCCAGTAACACACTTGTTTTTGTTTTTTGTTTTATTCATTGTATTTATCCTTTTGGCAGCCAATTGAATGTCCTCCAAAGTTTCTGGCATTACAATGGGATATTTATTTTATGGAAATTTAGCTCTGATAGTAATTATGATGTTCAATAACAAATATTAAAGCCTAATGAAATATTCTTTTGGTGTAGTTAGGGACTTACTGAGTTCATTACTAACTTCTATTCACTGCAGAATCTTCTTCATTATCAGCATGAGGCCTGTTTAATCAGGTTTGGACAAAAATGTAAACAGGATGAAAGAGGTAGGGATAAAGGAACTAACCACATAACATGAATGTAATCTTTTTGCATTATATTGAAAATGGCACTGGGTTTCTTTTTCCCCATCATAACAGGATTTCTTATTTGGCACCAAATGATAGCTGTTTGGCATAATAATAATTGCCAATGTCCTTTGGAGGGAAAGTCATTTTTATTTAGTAAATAGAATGCATGAGTAATGAACAATACAAGAAAATTGTAAAATAATTAGCAAGTGGTTCAGAGGTGCTCATTTACAGCTGAGGAAATTAAATATGCAAATACATTATTATCACAGAGGTAGTTAACAGACAAATGAGCGAAAAAAGATGGTGCCTTCTAATTCATCATTGTTTAAAAGACACCTGTGAGCTCTGTCTGAAAATGACAACACTGAAAAATGCAGATGGTTGCATTTTCCCTTCTATCAGTCATTTTTTACACGCTAATTAGATTGGGGAAGGGGGAGAAAATAATTCCCTGTCTGTAAGATGGTTTTGTTGTTTAAACAGTTTAAATATTACAGAAAAGTCAACCAGATAACAGATTGGGATGTGTATGTACATAAATCCATCCATACATCCATCTATCCATACATACATACATACACACATTCCTCCTAGTTGATCATAGTCCTAAACAGTACCAAGAAATTGTTTTATGCTTATCATTATAGTTGTTGTTGACTGGGTGGCTGACTGGCTGTCTGTATAGAGCAATATTTAAAAGAATATTCTTTCTTTAGGAAGCCAATAGTGAAGACAAAAAGAAGCACACTATATAATAAGATTGCTACTAAATCAATTTGTTCTAAATCAACTTCATAATCACTAATGGTGAATAGTCAAGCGAACATTAGTTTTGATAAGATATGTACTTGGTTTTTGAAATTATTTTCCATAGTTTGCTTATATTGGGCCCTGAAAAAGATCAAGGTGCATAGATGTCTGCAGAAAGATTCACCATTGTTAGGAAGCCACACATCATTGGAGCTCTCCCTTTTTTTTTACAAATATTGCATGCTGAATGTGCAGCTTCAAACATGCAATGGTAGCTGTCACCTTGCCCCTCTCAATCTGCATTAAGTAAAGTAGTGATCAAGTAAACAAGTTTGCAATGGAAGAAAAAAAATGAAACCATAGTTTTCCGTCTGAATACAAATGGGGTAAGTCATCACAAATGTCAATAGAAGAGGATAAACTGGTATACTCTGAACAAATGAAATTCCATGTCTAAATCACCATACTTACTCCAAGAACTATATGAAATATATGTTTCATTAGACAATTTTCAAATGCTGAAATTTTCTTTGAAATAGAATTGATTTTTGCTATAACTCAGTGTTTCAAAACATTTGATAAAAGTCCATTTGCTTTATAATATTTCTAGATTGAAAAAATGAACTATCTATTATTTATGCTGTTACTTAAATACTTACATGTCTTTCTATCATTCAACATTATAAATTGAAATTATTAATATTATACAGGGAGTCTATGATTATTCACAATTAAAGGCTAAGACTAAATCAAAAACTTAATAATTAAATTAGAATGTTCAGATATGATAGATTCAAAATGTCCAAATATCAAGGAGTCTTTAAGTTATTGCCGCAAAGGTTCCATTCACAATTGATATAACAATGCATTTCTTTTTCCATAAGCATTCAACATATACTGTATCTGTGAGTCCCGTATTTTGTCAATTTTTTATTGCTTTTCCTCAATCCTAGTATTACCCCAAACAATATAGCAATATAAATGAAAAGGACTTTCTTCTTTTCAATCACTGTCATATCAGGCATGTTATGCATAAGAAGTCTATCTGTTTGGATAAGTCCCATAAAACCTTAATCTGCTCTGATCTATAAAATCTTAACCCACTCATTTTCGAACACTTTCTCAACTTGGTAGTCTCAGTGGTTCTTGCTACATTCAAATCTAAATCTCTGGAAAGTTTCCAACGAACCATTTTGGAAACTTGGTCATTAGTTATAGTCGGCTTGTGAAATCTTACTGCAGCTACTTATCCATTGGTCAATAAATTCATCAATTATTTATTATGATTATTATTATTACAGTATTATTATTTCTCTACTGCTTTCACATTAATATGCTTTGCATACAAATCCTCAATAGTTAGCTATTTTAAATAATGTAATTTTCAAAGATTTCAAAGTTTTATGTCAACCTTCTCAAGTACATTATAAGAAACATGAACAGTTGAGCTAATGCTACTGTATTGTAAGATGCATTAACAGAATTTTGCAAGTATGAAAATACAGGTCTCCCACCATTTCCTTTATAGCTTGAGAACTTGGGCAGGAAGTCCCAAGAATTTTCTCCACCCATTATGCAGCTGCCATCTCTCATATTCCCCGGGTAGCACCTCGTTTTTCAAGGTGATTCACTATACCATTATAGTCCAAGAGAAGATTATAGGATCCCTGGAGAGCCATGAGGTTGAACTCTGGACAATATATGAAGAAAGGTAGCTGTAACAGAATGGTGTAATATGCAATCAACGCATTATGTGTTTGATTGCTAGTATCTAATAGTCAAACCTGTGTGGTTTTTCTGGACATTTTTAGGATTGAGAGAGAGAAAGAGTGAGTGACTGGCTTAAAGTCAAACTTATATCCCTTATATCCTATCTTCTGGTCAAGCAGAAGAAATGAAGGAACGGAAAGGAAGGGAAATGAGGCTTAAATTAGTATATGTTTGTCTGTATGTATGTATGTTTTGTGTGTATATGAATATTGTTTACTTTTAGGCACATTGAAATCAACTTAAATTGTAAAGGAAATAATAAAAATAAAATACCCAAATAACAATTATAAAAACTGTTTCTTGGGGGGGAAATCCCCTCTTTTAAAAAATTGTATGACCCTAAGCTCAGTTGATGCAGTAAAATGGGTTGCTCTACTACAATGTAAACTGAATTACAGCTTCAGTTGCCAGTTGCTGTATAAAGAAATAATATTTTGAAGGTGAAAATTACCAACCAATTTTGTTGATTATATATATTTATTATAAGCTGTACAATAAACATACAACACAGAATACAATTTAATTCTAAGGTAGAGAGAGCAAAAAAACATAAAACGTTCCTTTTTCTGTAGTGCAGGAAAACAGTTCCCATGTTTTACAACACTGTCTTGTTCTTCTTTTCTTTTTTTACTTGGATAAAATAAACAAAGCGCATAGCAGGGTGTCTTGTAATGAACTGTCTTTGCAATTGCACCAGGACATTCTCTATGCTGCCTGGCCATTTCATTTAAAGGGATTTTTATTAGTGAATACTCACTGGTTATTTAAACCACAGGGGTCTTTGCAGGTAGAGGTACAATTTGAGGAGAGAAAACTGAAAGGAACAATTTATACATTTTTAAATAAACACATTCCATTTGTATTCATAGATTCAGAGTGCCATTCTATCAACAGTTTTTCTAACTAGTTAGATGAAAAAGTCTTTTTTATTTTTAAGGAAATTTAAAGGGAACACTGGAAATGTATTGACTGTAGTTATTTTAAATGTCCAATTTAAATCCTGGATAAATTTTCTTGCAAAATTTATCTATTAAAATATTACAGTACTAAAATATTATAATTTATTTAAAGCCTAACTTTAAACAAATTCTTTAGAAATCATTTCCAGTTGGTTCAAAGATATGGGAAATAATATTTTGTTATGTGATATGAAAGGGATGGGACACTAGTGTCAGAGTTTGCAGCAGACAATTAAATAATTTTGCGGTATTCATCTACATAAAAACTTCTTTATATACAATACCATACAGCAGAAGTCAGCGTACACAATCAGGAACATAGACACAATATTCATAGAAGCAAGTCATTCAGAGTAGAGAGATGCAGAGGCAAAGATTCAAGGACAAACTAACTCTTATATACAGTTCAGCAAGTCTAAGCCACACTCAGACTCCAAACTGTCTCTTATGGCCCCATACAAACAAATACTATGTTTCAGTTTCCAAACAGTCCCCATTGGCTGGCCTGTTGCCATGTCTATTTCAGCTCATAATTACTTATATACTGACATTCCTGCCTTTATGACTGGAATAGAATAGAATAGAATAGAATAGAATAGAATAGAATACCTTTATTGTCATTGCATTCTATAAATACAACGAAATTTGAAACCTACTCTAGCACAGTGTCCCAAACACCACATCACAATCACACTACAGAGTATTTAAAAATTAAAATAATAATTAAAAACTTAGTCTAAAACCTATCTAAAACATATAATAAGTTAGATAGTTTAAAAATGTCATTATATACACAGGGCTAAATCATATATGCATTGTTTGATTCAAGACAATTATTACCTTGGAAAAGAAACTGTTTCTCAGTCTATTAGTCCTCATTTTAAGACACCTATAACGCCTCCCTGAGGGTAACAGTTCAAAATATGAACGTCCAGGATAAGAATGGTCTGTGGAGATTTTTAGTGTTCTAGAAAGGAGTCTGGTCTTCGCAATCATTTCCAAAGAAGAAAGAGAGCAACCGATCTTTTTGGGGGGCTGTGTTTATAACTCTCTGGAGCATCTTTTATCCACTGCAGAGCATCCAGCATACCACACCGTTACACAATATGCCAAAATGCTCTCAATGGTAGAACAGTAAAAAGTAACCAGCAACTTCTCACCCAAACCACTCTTTTTCAGCAGCCTCAGAAAGTGCAGGCACTGTTGGGCCTTCTTTGCAGTAGCCATAGTGTGGTCTGACCAAGTAAGGTTGTCAGAAATATGAGTTCCTAGAAATTTAAAACTATGAACTCTTTCCACACAGTCTCCACTGATATATAGTGGGAGAGGCTCTGCTTTGCGTCTTCTGAAGTCTATAATCAATTCTTTGGTCTTTTTGATGTTCAGGGTGAGGTTATGACTCTTGCACCACAAGACCAGTCTGAGAACCTCTGACGTACAGGCCGTCTCATATTCTCCTGATAAGAGTCCCACCAATGTAGTGTCGTCTGCAAATTTTATTATAGAGTTAGTGGGACAAGAGGGAGTGCAGTTGTAGGTGTAGAGTGAATACAAAAGGGGGCTCAGCACACAGGAGAGCCAGTGCTGAGAGCTATAGTGGCGGAAAAATAGCTGCCAGTCCTAACAGTTTGGGGTCTATTAGTAAGAAAGTCCTTTATCCAACAGCAGATGGATAGAGGAGAGGAGAGGCCCATTTCTAGCAACTTCTTAATCAGTATATCTGGATTGATGATATTAAAAGCTGAGCTGTAATCAACTAAAAGCATCCTTACATAGCTCCCACTATGCTTCAGATGTTTCTTTTTTAAAATAAATTTTATTAAATTTCCAAATTAAAAAAAAACATAAAACAAAACTTTATACATTGTTATCAACATCAAGACATCTTTTGCATTTCCTCACATTTTTTAGTATATGTATTTACTTATTCCTTTACCATTGCATCTTACTCTTACTATAAATCAATATCTTTTAACCTTACATCTCAATCTTCTCCGTGGTATATTTACATATTTACATATTCCCTCATTCTTTTCCTAATTGCCATTTTATTTACTTTTTATTTATAAACCACTCATACCAGGCATACCAGGCCCTGTAATAGATTGAATCTTCTCTGTCTTTTATTTTCATCGTTAGCCTGTCCATCTCTATACAATCTATTATTTTTTTAATAACCATGCCTTCCGGTGGAACCTTTGTTCCTTTCAGAGTTGTGCGTACAAAACCCTTGCAGCTATTAATATATGTAACATAAAATATCTATCTGTTTTATTGCATTTTTGTGTTATTATACCTAATAAAAAAGTTTCTGGATTAAATTCAGTTTTCTGATTCATGATTTCTTCTATTCATTGTCTAAGTGTATTCCAATATTTATGCTCCAGATGTTTCAGTGCAATGTGGAGAGCCATGGCAATAGCATCCTCTGTGGATCTGTTATTCTGATAGGCAAACTGGTATGGGTCAAGGTTTGATGGGAGGCAATCCTGTATATATTTTAAAACCAGTCTTTCAAAACACTTCATAATTATGGGTGTGAGAGCTACTGGTCTATAGTCATTTAAAGTATCAGTAGAGGGCTTTTGGGGAACTGGAATAATAATGGAAGTTTTGAGACAAGATGGAACAATGGCTTGTGTAGGAGAAAGGTTAAAAATATTTATAAACTCACCTGCGAGCTGGTCAGCACATGCTTTGAGTACCTTCTCAGGTATCCCATTAGGGCCAGCAGCCTTTTTCACATTCACTGCTCTAAGCACCTGCTTCACATCATATTCTTGTACTGTGAACAGTTGAGTACTGGTGGTTTGTAGAGGCAGTGTGTTTGAAGACCTATTCAGTTCAAATCAGGCAAAGAAGCAGTTCAATTCTTCTGCCAGCGATGCGTCCTTATTGATTGATATGGGGTTGCTGCCCCTGTAATTAGTGATGTGTTTAATTCCCTGCCAAGGCCGTCATGGATCATTATTTGTTAAGTAGTCCTCAATCTTCCTTTTATAGTCCTTTTTTGCCTCCTTGATGCCCTGCCTCAGTTCCGCTCTTACCTTGTTATACCAAACCCTGTCCTCAGACCTGAATGCCATATCACCTGTCTTGAGAAGTAATTGCACATCCTTGTTCATCCAGGGCTTCTGGTTTGGAAAAATCCAGATGCGTTTATTCACAGTAACTGTATCCACACAGGTCAAGATGTAAAACAGTACAATTTTTGTATATTCCTCCAAATCCTCTTGTTCAAATAAATTCCAATTAGTATTTGAGAAACAATCCTGCAGCTGATCAAGTGCTCCCTCCAGCCAGATCTTGATGAGTTTGATTTTAGGCTTAGTTTTCTTTCTGAGGGGGGTGTATGCTGGTATAAGGAACAGTGATAAATGAACTGAAAGTCCCAGATGTGGAAAGGACACTGCTTTATATGCGTGCTTTACATTAGAATACATATGATCAAGTGTGATGTTTCCCCTGGTGGCACATGTCACATACTGAGTACATTTGGGAAATACAGTCTTTAAGCATATTATTAACTATTAAAATCACCAGTTATTATATGAGCCCCATCAGGATAAGCCTTAAGTTGTTTATTTATTGTAATATGCAAATATGCAAGTGCAGTACTACTATTTGCATCAGGAGGTATATAAACAGCTGTAAAAATCACCACTGTCAGTTCTCTGGATAGATAGAAGGGTCTGCACATGACTGTCATCGCCTCTAAATCAGGAGAGCAGTATCTGTTTATAACACGGCTGTTGGTGCACCAGTAATTATAAACAAAGTCCACCTCCTTTAGTCTTACCAGAGTCCTTACTACAGTCTTGTCAGTGGATGGTATGACATGCCAGTTGTAGGGAGCCATCAGGAATAGCTGAGTGAAGCCAGCTCTCTGTAATAACTATCACACGCAATCCTTTATCATGTGATTGCTTGCTGCCATCAGATTAATCTCATCCATTTTATTGAAGAGTGACTGAGCATTTGAGAGAAAGATACTTGGCAATGATGGTTTGTGTGGCTGTCTTTCTAAGCGAGTTAAAACTCCTGCTCTGCAGCCCCTCCTCCGCCTTCTCTCTCGGTACCACCTGAGCCGTTTAAATGATCCCATTACAATCCATGGAGATCCTGGTGGTCTTGCTATCTCCTCGGCAATACCGTGGGTCCTCTGAAAATAGAATAGACAGAAAACCAAATAACTCAATGGCTTATGGTGCACTCCACCCAATTGTTATATCAGCCAAATTGTCCTCTGAAGAACAGCGAAGCATGCTAATTAATTTACATTTGATGGTTTCTTTGACAGTACAATAGTTAACGTCCACATGCTTGCTTCTATTCTTTACTCTGTCATCTGTTGCCATTTTAATGCAAGTAGCATTATCCTCATACACTGTTACTGTGTCATTTACCTTTATGCTGAAATCTTGAAACAGCTGTACGTACCAAGTTCCCTCTGAACAAAGTTCAGATAGAGCTATAAATTCTGCCTCCACAGTAGAAATGGCTACAGTTGTTTGTTTTCTGGACTTCCAGCCAATTAAAGCCCCTACAAACAATATCACAATCCCAGAATTAGACTTTCTGGTTTTTACATCATTGGCCTAATCACTGTCAACATAACACTTCAATTTCAATTCTTCAGATACCTGTATTTTAAAACACAAATTCACAGTTCCCTACCTGAGAATCCTTTTTATATCCATCCAATGTAATTGTTTGGTGCAGCAATAAAGCAACTTAGGATACTTACTGCATCAACTATGCCTGGTCTGTACCACTGTGATAGATATAACAGGCTCCCTATTGCTAACTGATATACCTCTTGATCACAGACTTTACTTTTGTCCTTGGCCAAACTATTATAAAAATCTGTACTCATAGGTGTTGGAGCAAAATTAAAATCCTTCATATGATATCTCTCCAACAATTGTTCAATTTTCCTTCTTTGGTGGAGAACATAACCACCTTTCTCAGTTTTTTGTATCTCTACACTGAGATAATTTTGTATTTCACCCGAGTCCTTTATTTCAATTTTTTTTCTCCAATTGGTTAGCAAATCCCTTTTTCTGTGACACATCTTTTGCAATAAAGCAAAGATCATCCACAAATGCTAACAATTTACAACCTCACCTTGCAATTTTCCAGTATATATGCAACCATCAGCTTTGCAACTTTTGACCCAAGATCATTCAGTGCAGTATCTAGACAGATATTCCTATTCCTGGCTAATTGCTTCAGTCCATAAATGGCCTTGTTCAATTTATATACAGTGTTAGGCTTTTCACTTTCATACCCTGGTGCTTGAACCATGTCAATTTCTTCCTCCAATTCCGCATTGGGGAATGCTGTGATTATATCAAAATGCCAAATTTTATGGCCATGTGCTGTTTCCAATGCTAGTGCCAAACTTATACTTTCACTCTTCACCATTGGCGTGAATACCTCATCATATTGCACATTTTTCTTCTGTGAAAAACCTTGTGCTACTGATCTTGCCTTATATTGTACCTCATTATTGGGTAGTCCTTTCTTTTTGTACACCCACTTACATCCTACAGCTTTGCAAGCCTGTGGCAAAGTCATAGATGTGAAGTCATTTGTCCATAGCTTCTTTCCACTTTACTTGTTCAATTTTGGGTAATGCCAATACTTTCTTACACTTTCTTGGTTCATACCACACATTACAAACCTTAACTTTACTAGCAGAATACCTGTCAGGTGGAATCCCCTTGTTCCATTATTCTGACCTGCATGGCATTGACTGCTCCTGTGTTTCAATCCTCTCTGGTGTCATACCTGAGTCTTCTTCTGATTCCTTTATTTATATCTTTTCAGTTTTTCCTCCTTGAATGCTGACATCATAACTGAGTTACTGTCACTAAATGGATCACCATCACTAAGTGGATTATTCCCAAAATTGGCATCAATTCTGTTCCAATTTTGTTCTGCAAAGTTTGCAGACCTTGAAATCATTATTCTCTTGCTTTCATTGCTAAAGCAATAGCTCTTTGAGCCATGCTCATAGCCTGTAAACCTTAGCTTTCTAGCCTTAGGTTGTCCCTTTCTTCTAATTGCTTTTGAAATATGCACCCATGCAGTGCTTCCAAACACCCTTAAATATGCCAGAGATGTTTTTCTCCCATATAGCACTGCATATGGAGTATCATTAATGGAGGAACTCCACAGCCTATTGACTAAATAATTAGCAGTCAACATGGCTTCACCCCAATATGACCTGCTCAGACCAGAATCCTCTGACAGTGAATCCTTCATCATTTGTAAGACACCATTCTGCCTCTCAGCTACACCATTCTCAGCTGTACAGATTTGTGCATCTGTGTTTTGGACTTTGATGATTTACAAACTGCACAGTCCAAGTATGCCTTACACCCTTTTAAGTTTATACCTTCTGCAAACTGTTGCATCTTTTGCAAAACTCTGAAGCTTGCATGACCAAGGTGTCTATGTAAGAGATGGACACATGAATCATGTTGTGCCACATTTCCAAATGTTTAGGCACATTGAACCTTTTGTCCCTGCAACACATAAAGATTATCCTGCTCTATGTCCTGTGCACATACATTTCCATTTGTCTTTATGAGACACTTTCCATTTACAAATGTGGTCTCAAACCTCTTTTTGTCTAGACTAGAGACACTCAATAAATTATGCTTTATTTCAGATGCACACAGTATATTGCTAAACTTTTCCTTCAGACATGGAATCACCACACTACCTTTTCCAGTGACTTTAGTCTTCTGGTTATTTGCCAAAGCCACTGCATCACCTCCAGCTGGATCCATTCTGACAAACAATTTAGAATTATTAACAATTGTTTGACTAGCCCCACTGTCTATTAACCATTTGTCCCTGCTATTACAATAGCCAACTTTTGCAACAGCACCCTGTCCATCTGTTGTCCTTTTCCTTTGCAAACAATCTTTCTTCAAATGACTCTTATCACACAGATGATACACCATGTTCTGTTGCTTTCTTTGTAGAAAAACTTTGTTGGGTTGTCATTTGACCTCTACAGACACCTTGTCTGTTGCTTTTCTCTCTCTGTTCCTTGGGGGCCCACCTCAGGAATTTCTCCTCATGGCTTTTTCTAAAATGGTGCTTATTTTCCTCTGAAATCAAACAGGCTTTAAGAGCTTCCATTCTTAAGTCCTGCTCTGGTTTGCACTCAAAACAGCTGAAACAATATCCCATGTTTCATCAAGACTGTTTTACACCAACAGCATCATTTGAGGTTCAAGAATCTGCATCCCACGCTGTTCCAACTCAATGAATAAAGTCTGCATGTGCAACAAATGCTGCTCCACACTCGCTTGTGGCTGCATCCTGGCTCTGTATAACTGTCTTGATAATTGCACAATAATGCATGCTGATGTACACCAGAGGTGGGCTGACTTTTGTTGACAAGGGGTTCACTGGTCATAAGTGCACGCTGACCTGTTGCCATATCTATTCAAACAGTCCTCATTGGCTGACCTGTTACCATGTCTATTCCAGGTCATAATTACTTATATACTGACATATATCATGTGTTATGCCAGAGGAAGATATTAGATTTATTTTTCCATAGTGCATTTTTAAAATGTTTAAATAAATGGTAACACATCTTGTACTGGAAAACCAGGAAATCTATTGCAACTTTATCTGGGAGATTTCTGAAAATTTAGTCTTTAAAGAATTTAGACTTATTCTGATACAATAAGTTGATTCACATATATCATTTAAGATGATTGATTATTAATAATGCTAAGTGCTAGCAATAGCACTTAGACTTCCTACTGTTTCGTAGTGCTTTACAGCCCTCTCTAAGTGGTTTACAGTCAGCATATTGTCCACAACAATCTAGGTCCTAATAATAGAGATAGTTTTTTTGGTCTAAACCACAGCTTTATGTATTTATTTATTAATCACATCCAGAGACTGTACATCTTCATCACAGAGGGATTCTATGCAGTATATAGGTAAAATATTAAAACATTTTAATATAACATTTTTAAATACTATATTTAAAAAATTCTGTAAAAAGCAAAGATAATTAACATTCAGAATCAAAGGTGGATGTGGGGGGCTTTAGGGCACTAACCAGCCCCATAACTCCTCTATTAACCCCAAGTACAACAACAAAACCAGGTCTTTAGTCATTTCTGAAAGGTGAGAAGGATAGGGGCCTGTCTCACCTCAGGTGGTCTAAAGAATGGGGACAAAAGCAGACAAGTTATCTTCCTGGACCCCATCAGTTGAAGTTATGTCACCAATGATTAACCATAACATACCCTTGCTGCCTAGTGGGTGGCATGGGCTGAT